GCAATAGACTGGCGCTGCTCAAAGCAGAAGACTGTGTCAACCTCTACAACAGAGGCCCAGCTTCTAGCTTTGTCCCACAGTGCGAAACAGCTCTATTGGTGGCAGCGTTTCTTCAACACAATCAAACTCGATCTAAACGAGCAATACTCACTTAATTGTGATAATTTGCAGACCATACGGATCTTACTTAAGGAGTCTCCAAAGCTAGTCACAAAACTTAAGCATATAGACGTCCATTCACACTGGTTAAGACAGGAGGTTGAGCACCGTAACCTCGACATTAAGTGGATAGCTACGTACGAGATGCCAGCAGACGGCTTTACTAAGGCCCTACCCCATCAGAAGCACAAGGAGTTCATTAAACATTTGAACCTTGTAGACATAAAGCATCTCCTATAGGAGTGCATACATACAACACAACCCCGTATGAAGCACTGGCTACCTTTGTACTATGGAAAGCAGCCCCCTAGACCAAAGGGTCTAGTCTTCTACTTCACTAACTGAAAAGTGAGGCAAGACAAGAATAGCTAATGGATGAGTTCCGTACGGAGGTAGAACCTCAAAAGCACCAAAGCCGCCTACAGTTACACCTAGTTTTACTATGCGTTCTTATTTCAACTTTCCCAATGGAATACCTTGGGAAATAATAAACATACACTCATTTGGAAGACTACACAACTCCGTACGACATAGATGCAATATATGCATGGAGATTTCACATTCATTTTTCGAAATTCCAAACCCATTTCAACAAAGGGGGGAAGGCAGACAAGAGCAGGAGAAATCCCTGACTTTTACTATACAAAAACAGGAGAATCACCCATTTTCCCACACTCACAACTACGTACGGACCTGTCACATTAAAATTGCAGAGAAATCCACTGTCATTTAGGCCTCATTCACAACCGAGAGCACCAGAACACCGAGAGCACCAGAACCCGAGAGCACCAGAACACCGAGAGCACCAGAACACCGAGAGCACCAGAACACTGAGAGCACTAGAAGTGAGGCGTACGGAGATTACCCACGAAGCTGAGCAGCAGCTTCTTCATCAATAGCTTTCTGTCGGGCGAAGGCACGGGTGCCAGATCTTTTCCCAGCTTTGGGAGATGGCGGAGGTGGTGGCGTGGCAGGTCTCCAAGTTTTCTTGTGGCCTACTATGTGTTAGTGTCGTACGCAGCATAGGAATCAACAGAAAGGTACAAACTTACTCAAGGAACAAGCAGCTGACTTGTGCTTCATTGCACAGTTACCACAGGCTCCTTCCTGCAGCTCGCCATAGTGATGGCAGGCAGAGAAGAAGGGACGAGCCCGAGCACTGCCCCGATCGTGTACACACTGGTCACAGCCAGCATCCATGTCTCCTACAGCCTGGATGTACCAAGCCGTTGTCTGTTGTGGGTGGTCAGACTCCACCACACCAGCAACACCGTACGGACGGGCCAATTCCACGCCAACCACAATTGGGGGTAGGGATGGTATTTTGACCCTCTCATACTCTGGCAAGTCATCATGGAGGTCAGCCCTGATCTCAACCAGAGCCATGTCTTGAGGCTTGATTTCACCAATAACAGTCATTGTGAGTCGCGTACGGAGCTGTGCGAGAAGTGGAAAGTTGGTGCTTGGTAGTGGCGGGGGTGGGGGTAGAAAAAGGTTGTTGGCCCAGAACTCCAAATTCAGACCCATACGGATTTGCCTGCGAGCCTTCCTACTTAGTATGCGGTACTGGGATACATGGGGGGGTGTGTTGTAATATGTCACATGATCTCAGCACCACTTCCCCGCAATTTCAGGCAGCAATAGATAGACAGGAATACAATACACAAATTACTCAACAAGTTTCGAGGCTATGTCTTCTTTCAGCAGCGACGATGACAACCATCACCCCGACACACCGAGTCGTCCTCAACCGCCTTCAAATACCAAAAACCCTCATACTTCCCCGAACCCACTATCTCAGACTATTGAACGAGGTGGCAAAAAGGGGGCTTCCAGCGAGACTCATCGCCAGAAGAATTTAGGTCGGTTTTGTACGCCAAACTGCCTAATTGGTATGGTAGATGGGGGAGAACTCGATTGGCGGTGTTCGAAAGTTGAAAGCCTATTATACTACGCAGGTGCAGTCCGTATTGTCCATATGATGTTTCTAAGCTTGGGAGGTTTTCCGTTGCGAGAGCCAATCTCACAAGCTGTCGTCGACAATGCTGTCTCCCATCTGCGTGACATGCATGAGCTAGGAGTGATGCAGGGTGATTCAATACCCAGTAATGTTCTCGTCCACCCGGATTGGCCAGGTATTATCTGGATTGACTTTGAACGAGCTGAGCTTATACATCCAAGAGCGGTACTAGGAAGTCTATCACCAAATCGGAAACGGAGGTGGTCTGACAAGGAAAGGGAGCATGGCAAGCACAGCAAGAGAACACCTTCACCAGAGATACGTCAAGCTAAGATAGAGCTGGGGAGATTGGTGGGCAAAGGGGACAGCATAAGATAACGTCTTGATAACTTACGTAGCACAAGGGAATTACTGTAACAACAGTTCTATTCGTCATCAGATTCAGAATCTCTGTCCTTTAACTCATGTTATACTGGGTTCAGGACTAGGGCAGAACCGAAGAGCTCGAAGACGTCAAAGTATGGGACTACCGGATGACGACAAGCATCAAGAGCTGATTGGAGAAAACGGGTCCAGAGGTAATTGGAGGAGGGAGGGTCTCCCATCGCTTCAGTATCAGATTGTCACAGTTGTGGACGCCTGGCCTACAGAAGCGGCAATGATGAAGATGATATACGAGGATCTGTGGCTCTAGAAGCTGTCTCATCATCAAAGTCTCATACTCTCAGAAGATCAAAACGATATTTCACTTAGCCGACAACGTAGCACAAGGGAATTCACGGAAAATAAAACCCTCATACTTAACAATCCTTCCTGAGCCTCTTTGATTGCTTCGTTCGGATGAACCTTTATTTCGTAGCAGCACGAGTCGTCGCGCGTGGTCACGTGCTTCTATCAGCCCACGTGCTGTGGAACAGTATGTACTTACAATGTCCCTGGTGCAATATATGTCATTATCTAAAACTAATAACGTACATGTATAGCGAAAGCGCCAAACAAGCGAAAGCGCCAAAATTATCTACCCTCACGACAAACATTGCGATAAATCTACCACAACATTAGAAATCAATTGAAACTACTCGGAGTCCTCTTCCTCAGAGGTGTCTATTACAATCTGACACGTGCGCGCATTGTGCCCAGTCTCACCACACTTGCCACAGCGACGGGCACGGGTTTCTTCCCTTGGCTTCCGACCACGGCTTGCCCTTATTTCCTGCTCTACCTGCTGCACAACATCCCTCTCATCCTGTAGCTCTTGCGCCCCTTGTTGACTAAGTGATCCTCCTTGCTGTAGTCGTGTTTTCCTAGCTCTCCGGCGCTTGCTTAGTACTTCATTTGCCTGTCGTAGGTTTTGGTTCTCTCCCTTTAGCAGTGCTAATTGATGCATTATTTGCGATGCACCCTTTGTAAACTGGTCAACAGCTGCATAGATTGAGGTTGGAGAGCTATTTTGATGGCGTGAAATCCGAGTTTTAATAAATGTAGACTGTGACATAGCTTCAATTGGGTTGTTTGGTGTCTGAGAAACCCAAGGTTGAGCAGTACCTGGGCGGGAGCTTGGAGGCGTTGGTGTCCTTAACTTAAGATCAAGTGTAGATATCACTCTCTCAGGGTCAAATGGAAGAAGCCCTGCCCCTCGGAACCCGCCTCAAATGTTACTTTCCGTCATTGTAGTGTTAAATGCAGCGTGGAAGGCAGGAAAGAAGTCATCCTTTGTAATATGAGAAATATGAGCCTGCATCATATCTTCAATTTGCCGACCATAGGCCTGCTTTAACGGGCCGAAACAGCCAACATCAAGTTGCTGGAGTAGATGAGAAGAGTGAGCAGGCTTACAAAGCGTAATAATGTTGTGTTCCTTGCAGTACTCCTCAAACTCATCTGAGTGGTGGCTCTCATGACCATCAAGGACTAACAAGCGATAACCACCAACACTCCGGGCCTTTGTATGCTTCTCAAAGTGCTGAATCCAATCCATGCCTCTCTCGTTTGTAGTCCAGCCATTTTCAGTAACAGAAATCACCCAATCGCTTGAAAATCCACTATTCTCATACCAAGATGTAAGGTGGTTTTTGCCTGCAACAATGATAAATGGTGGTACTGCCCAACCTTGAGAACTAACGCCTTGGATTACTGTAACCCATTCCCGATTACCAGGCTGTACCTTCTTTGCTTTTGCCCGCCCGTCTGAGCTTGTTACAACCATAGCAGTTGAGATAACGCCCATCATAAACCCAGTCTCATCAAAGTTGTAGATATCTGCTTCATCGATACCATATTTCGCAATTGTGTTACGCACAAGCTCAAACCAGCCATTAATAACTTCTGGATCTTCGCACTTAGCCCTCTGGTAGTCGTATTTGCGCTGAAAGCGTGTCTGGAGCTCTACACGCCGCTTAACAAAGTTTGAAGCCCAACGCGACCCAACGCGTGACGCGTCGCGTGTTGCAAGTAGTCGACTTGCCATATCTTCAACAACAGACAGCCGAGGAGGAAACCCTTTGGCAGCTAGGTCGAGTATATACTAAACAAGGACAGACTCCTCTAGGTTAGTTAATTTCCGTGAGTTGGCTTGGATATCGCGTCGTGAAGGTACACCTTCTAGACGACGACCTAGCTTGCGGTGGTCCACAGAATAGATCCTAGCAGCAACTCGAAGGCGTAACTTTGGGTCGCTTTGCATAGCCTGGATAGCTAGCACTAATTGGCTTTCATCGTTTTTATGGGGCATGTTTCGTTGTTGAGGAATTTAACATTTAGTTGGGGGGTTTGGTCACCGCATCATTTTGGCGCTTTCGCTTGTTTGGCGCTTTCGCTATACATGTACGTTATCTATTGCCAAAGCAAACTCATCTCTTGTGTATGCAAATGCTCACTAGCCCTAAGATACAATGCAATGATTTCCTGCATCACCTTGCCTCAAACTCTTTAATTTATTCAGAGTGTATTGTATCTTCCTTCTCCAGGAATTCTCATCCGATGGACGGCCCTTCCATTTAACAAAATATTCAATTTTCCCTCTCCGTTCTCGCTTCTTGAGTAATTCCACACTGAAGTTCCCTTGATAGGTCGCCTCAAAATTGTCAACGAGATCCGAACTGATGTCGTCCTGTTCCTGCCACGTATTTTTATCATCACCAAAGCCTTCCCACTTCACGAGGTACCAAACAACATTAAGTACTATCGACTTGGCAAGCAGCGCTTCAACCTCGCAGATCTCATCTGTATCGCTTTCCACTCCTTGGCTGCTACAACGCGGCTGCATTGTTATATGCTTTTTGTTCCCAGTTGATAGTATGCCTCTATGAGCACCCTTGCTAGAGTCGGCAGTTGCTGCTAGACATGGTGTGGAAGGATGGGCATCTCGAAGCTGTGGATCAACTAGGTCTATTGAAAACCCTGATGAGCATATTCCCTTGCATTTTTTATACTTCGACTTCCGCGAGCGGTTCTTCAGCTTTGTGCTGTAGTGTACTTGTAACGTCCCTTTGGTCCTTCCTGGGAAGAACTCTGCAATTTCGTCCCATGGCAATTTGTCATCCTCTTTCAGCTGTATCAACAGTTCGTTATCAGCTGCTGAATATGTCGATTGCCTACCAGGTCTGCTCATAATTTTTTCTTGCAAAGGCGGTCGTTTTCTCTGCTTCTGCCCAGCTCGCGGTGACCTCTTTGCATGAGCGCAAACCTGTGAATGAGCTGACACTCCAACTGGTTCTCCGCTAGATGTGTAATTTGATATGTGGAGACCGATTGATGGCTTGAACGAATCCGGGAGATCTAGCAGCCTGAACTCTAGGTTGTAAGTTGTCTCTCGTCAGATCCTCACACACTTGAGAAAGCCCTGAAGAGGATATTCCTCGTAGTCCGCGCCTAGCATTGACTCCGCATCATCTGGTGCAGTCTGAGAAACTGTAGAACTTCGAGTAGAGCAGGTCTGGGCTTGGGCTGTAGTGGACGAGCGCGTGTGGACCTTCTTGCGCATGGCGGTTTCAGTCGAGTCAAACTCTCTGCAGGGCCGCTTTCGTCGCATTGGAGGTTGCACATCCCCATCCTCGTCATCTTCACTATCCTCATTGTCGTTATCCTCATTATCCTTTTGAAATGGGTTGACACTGTGTTGGCGGTCTTGTGAGAGAGGAGTCACAACTACGGTCTCATCTTCCACTTGTTCGTGCTGAACGGTCGTCATTATTTGCTGGCAGTAACTAACTTGGCCATTATTATCACTGCTAGTCGCCTCCATGTCGTCCTTGTCTTCGTCTTCTTGCACTTTTTGTTGGCAATGCTGCTGTTCAATCGTCTTTTCCCATAATCGTTCTTCGCTCGAAGTACCTCGAACGTCTGTATTATTTTGACTTTTTTGCTTGATCTGATTGTATTGGGAGTGGGCTGCGCTTAAAGGCGGCGACCCCCGCGCTTCTGCTGATGTTTGTCGTAGTTCAACTTTGGCATCGCAGATGCTGCACGGTTGCACGATCCACCGCGTAGTTGAGAAGGCTCATTTCGTCGACTATGGCCTTCTCAACACCCTGGTGAATTCGATCATGGCCCGTTGTTTCAGCTAGCTCAGAGCAACTTGGAGAAGATTGTCGAACGTGAACAGGGAATGTTGAGTCCAGCTCTGCGAAAGACAGGCATTGTTGTCCATCCTTAGAGAAACAACTGACATTGAGGTATGCCGCGTCTCGAGGAGTGGACGGGCCAAATAGGCTACTCGGGGTTGAGGCAGCATCTTGAGGGGTTAGGTCACACTCGCTTGCGTCTTGGTCCTTAATGATAGCAAGGTGATCGCTTGAGGCAGTTCTACCCTCAGCTTCGTCGTTACTTTCATCGTCGCTGTCGTCTTCGATGATTAGGGGCTCTCCTGCGTGGAATTAGTAAGGTGAATCCGCATACAAAAGCGAGCTAAGAAATTTACTTTGAGTATTGCCTGGCACATAGGCTGAGTTCAAGGTTGTGGCATCAGTAAGCAGGTGGCCCTCGTCATTTAGTTGGCACTTCGAAATATGGAGGGGCTTGTGGTTTTGATGTGGCGTTGAGGGATGTCTCTGTTTTGAGGAGGGCGGACCAGCTCTTCAAGTGATGGAAGAGAGTCATCTAGTGAGTCGTTATCTTGAACATCCCCCGCTAACATTGCAGATGGCGACCTGCTGGGTTGTAGAGGCAGTCGGGGCTTGTTCAACAATGACTTCGTCAGCTGAGCGTGTGAGGCCTTTAAGGCGGGTTTGGGGTTGGGGTTATAGAATTCAACGCAGTTCATGTTCACAGTAGCCATGTTGACACGGAGTAGGACATGAGTGGGAGAATTGTTTTTAGAACGAGAATCTCGAGCGGGATGAAGGACTTATATAGATTTGACGGTCGTTCCGGTATTGACTCGCTAGCATTTGCGAACCCCTCTTGCTTCCCTGCTAAAGATGCAGCCTTCACTGCCAAGCTTGTTTTCATGCTCCGTATGTCCCCTCATCCTTTTTCGTGCTCCGCCACATGCTTGATCCCGATTCCACCAACCTCACATATGCGTCAAAGACAGTGCTTGTAAGGATGCCTTCTCGTCTCTCATTCTAGGGAGTAGACTCCGGGTAGCCGCGGGGTCACGTGTGATCATTTGGGTGGCCTAACCGAGTCGGAACCGAGTCGGATGGGTTTCGGATACTTGAGAAAATCGACTGACGGGGTTCCCCATCATCTTTTTTGTATCCTTCGTAGTAGACCTATAGGATAGCATCCGTTTAGCCTCCGACTCGCACTCTCATATGCTATTACTGTGAGCTGGGTGCCCTGTGTCCTTACAGTGCTGTGGTTGCCAACTCTGGTGACGAAAGGAGTAATCATGTCCGGACTATGCGTGCTGTGAAGGCGATCACTTTGAAAGCCTAGGTCAGACAACTCTACAAGATCGCAATACTTGTCCACTCCCCATATCCATTTGTCTGCAATCCCGGTAGTATTCTCGTATCAGCACTCCAAGGTGAACCGCGGCCTTCAATGCGTGGATGGTCGCGGCTGCGATGGCCTTCGAGAGAGATCTCCACCTTTGATCCCCAGGATTTGAGTGGACCCCCAAGAAGCTAGGCTTGCAAACAGAATTCAGCCCTTCTCTCCAAGATCAGCCTAGACTGAGAGCAAACGGCGCTGCTCAGTGCATGTAACTCGCAATGTCGTAAAAGGTGCCGGGTAGCGGTCTACGCAAGGGCCGGCCACGTCACTGTGAGGCATTTTTGTGATTGGCTAGTCGTAGCATTGTCATACTGACATTCGTTGCACTCAGTTTGCTATTAAACTCAAGAGCAAACTTAGAAATCTCCTCCTCAAACCTACAAGTCACTATACATATTTTGGCTTGTCACACCAACAACAAGAGCAATACTACTCAACGATTGCTACAACCCTCTATAATTCATTACACGTCATTGCTCCTTAGTTACTGGGCCGATATAACCACATAGCATATCTCTACAACCCTCTATGATTCATTACATGACATCACTCCTTAGTTACTGGGCTAATACTACACATGACATATCTCTATCAACTAGAGGTCTAGGAACGTGAACAATAGCTCCAAAAGCTTCTACAACTGTCTATGATTCATTACACGTCATCGCTCCTTAGTTACCCACAAGATTGGTTAAGTTATGACATAATTTGTCTATAGGGGTACTCTGACCTTGGACCTCCTTTCACTTCCTATAGGCTAGGAACCTAGGAGATGGTTCTATGGGATTCTCTTACGTTGACTACAGTTACCAAGCCTGGTTAGTCATGGAAAGTCTTGGAAAATGAGAGAACTACACTCCTTTAGCATAAATAGGATTGCCCTTTCCTTAAGAAAGGGCAAGCAGACAATACAGTAAATCGACTATCACATACTTCCACGTCTTTTCCAAGCTTCCAAGCATTGATCTTGTTACTCAACATTTGTTACAACTTGTCTAAACCACTCCACTACATCATACACCTGATTGCTGCGTTGTGGAATAGTCTAAGCTATGACCCTTTGGCTCTGTTTCCTAAGACAGTGTGTTGTCTTAGTAAAATCACCCCTTCCTTGGGTGGCTGGATTCTCACATCTGGTGCACCCACCATTACATAGTGCAAGGCACTCTCAAGGCGGATTGCGCATGCCATAGTCGCAAGAGGTTTTAGATGTGTGCGGCGACGAAGAAGGGCGCAAGCAGGTGCGATCTGAACGCTCAATCTTGCATCTTGACAGCTCCGACGACCAGACGTCGATGCTCAGAGGGCTCGTTGCCATCGCGAATAGCTCGGTGGCATGGACGGCGCAGCCATCGAAGGGCGTAAATCGGTTGTGGCTCTGCGAAGGCGTTCATGTGCCACTGCGGGTTTTCATTTGCGGCGAGGCCGAGCAGGGGGATACGTTGGGCGGGGCCATGCGGTGTGAAGGGGGGTAGAAGGGGCCAAGCATCGCACGAATGAGCGCAGCAGGCGCGAGAATGTTGAGAGGGAAGGAGCGACAGTGGAGAGGGACAGAAGTCGAAGGGGGAGGAGAGGCCCTCTTATAGAAGTTGAAAGCAGCGGCAGGCCCGTGCACGCGCGTTCCCCGATCAGGCGGGCGCCAAACCCCGCGCGGCATACCTCACGACTGAGATTATAAGATATATTGTGGCCTTGATATCATAAAATATCTATCTGAGAAAAAGTGAATCCATCCAAACCATTCGACAATATCACCTTAGCATACAGCGCAATGCGAGGGCAGAGATATAAATCAAGCACAAATGCTACGGCGCAATTTTCCTTCATTAGACGTAACCACTCCGTTGAGTTTGACTCTTACTATACGGATAACAACATCATCACGCTCTGTATGCCTCCTCATTTATCTCATCTACTCTAGCCTCTAGATGTAGTAAGGCGTATGGTCAGTAAATTGAGAACAAGATGCGGGCTGTATAACCCACATTACTAAGGAGGACTTCTTCCTAGCATTTTCAGCTGCTTTCTAGGAAGCAATGACAGAGAAAAATATCCAGGGAGGTTTTCGAGGCGCTGGACTTATCCCCCATAACCCAGAAGCAGTCCTCTCTAAGCTAGATGTGAAGCTAAAGACGCCAACACCTACGGAGACCTCCTATGGGTTACCTGAACCTTGGGTCTTAAAGACGCCTAACAACCCAATTGAGGCGACTTCGCAGTCTGAATACATTAAAAATCGAATTTCTAGACATCAAAATAGCTCCCTAACATCAATTTTAAGGGCTCTTAACAAGCATACAAAAGGAACACATATGATGATGCATAGTCTTACGCTTATACAGTCTGAGGCTCATCTCATGAGAGGGGGACTAGAGACACTCAGCAAGCGTCGCAGAGCTAAGAAAACACGTCTTAGGCACAGAGTAAGTCTTTCTCTCGCAGACGATATTCAAGCCCAGAACGAGATTAATGCCTAATGTAATGGTGGGTGCACCAGATGTGAGAATCTAGCCACCCAAGGAAGGGATGAATTTACTAAGACAACACACTGTCTTAGGAAACAGAGCCAAAGGGTTGTAGCTTAGACTATTCCACAACGCAGCAATCAGGTGTATGATGTGGTGAAGTGGTTTAGACAATTTGCACAAATGTTGAGTCTGAGAACTCAGGGGTAAGTCAGAGGTTAGCACCTCACTGACTTTTCAAAAACAGAGAATAACAAGATCAATGCTTGGAAGCTTGGAAAAGACGTAGAAGTATGTGCTAGTCGATTTACTGTATTGTCTGCTTGCCCTTTCTTAAGGAAAGGGCAATCCTATTTATGCCAAAGGAGTGTAGTTCTCTCATTTTGCATGACTTTCCATGACTAACCAGGCTTGGTAAATGTATTAGAAATCAAGTGCGACCCACAACTAGCTTGCTAATCATGTAGTGAACGTAAGAGAATCCCATAGAACCATCTCTTGGGTTCCTAGCCTATAGGAAGTGAAAAGGAGGTCCAAGGTCAGAGTACCTATAGATAAATTATGTCATAACTTAACCAATCTTGTGGGTAACTAAGGAGCGATGACGTGTAATGAATCATAGAGGGTTGTAGAAGCTTCTAGAGCTATCGTTCATGTTCCTAGGCCTCTAGTTGGTAGATATATGCCATGTGGTAGTATTGGCCCACCCCCTTAAGGAGGAGATTTTCTTAATAACTTGTTCAATGAGTGTTCAAATGATATGCCGTGATGTATGTAGCATAAACAGATGTAGTAGAAGAGTTTGCAGCAATCGTTGAGTAGTATTGCTTCTGTTGTTGGTGTGATAAGCCAAGATATGTATGGTGACTTGTAGGTTTGAGGAGGAGATTTCTAAGTTTGCTCTTGAGTTTGATAGCAAACTGAGTGCAACGAATGTCAGTATGACACCTAGGTAAAGCAGGAAATGCAGCATAGTAGTAGTCTTGCGCCTAGGAACGAGACGAAGAAATGATGCTGTAGCATCTGCGGAAAAATGGATTGTCAAGTAGTTATTTCATTATCTGAAGATGACGATGGGCAGTAATTTCAATTGATTAGACGTTGAGGTTGACGACTCGACTGGAACGTTCACCCAGTCATGGTTTGGTCCACGACTCGCTAGCGTGTGGAGTACGTTACCAAACATAAATCATCACGACATAACGTGCATGTATAACGAAATGCAAGCGAAAGTGCCAAAATATCGCGACTACCCCATAAGAATTGCGATAAATCCACCACAACAATATAAATTAATTAAAACTACTCGGAGTCCTCTTCCTCAGACCTGTCTATTACAATCTGACAAGTGCGCGCATTGTGTCCAGTCTCACCACACTTGCCACAGCGACGTGCATGGGTTTCTTCCCTTGGCTTCCGACCACTACTTGCCCTTATTTCTTGCTCTACTTGCTGCACAACGTCCCTCTCGTCCTGTAGCTCCTGTGCTACCTGTTGACTAAGTGATCCTCCTTGCTGTAGTCGTGTTTTTTAGCTCTCCGGCGCTTGCTTAGCACTTCATTTGCCTGTTGCAGGTTTTGGTTCTCTGCTTTTAACAATGCTAATTGATGCATTATTTGCGATGCACCCTTTGTAAACTGGTCAACAGCTGCATAGATTGAGGTTGGAGAGCTATTTTGATGATGCGCAATTCAGTTTTTAATGAAAGTAGACTGTGATACAGCTTCAGTTGGGTTATTTGGTGTCTGAGAAACCCATGGTTGAGCGGTGTTTGGGCGAGAGGTTGGAGGTGTTGGCGTCTTAAACCTAAGGTCAAGTGTAGATATTACACTCTCAGGGCTAATTGGAAGAAGCCCAGCACCTCGGAACCCTCCCTGAATATTGCTTTCTGTCATTGCAATGTTAAATGCAGCGTGGAAGGCAGGAAAGAAGTCATCCTTAGTAATGTGAATAATATGAGCCCGCATCATATCTTCAATTTGCCGACCGTAAGCTCTCTTTAATGGGCCAAAACAGCCAACGTCAAGTGGTTGGAGTATATGGGAAGAGTGAGCAGGCATACAAAGCATAATAATGTTGTGTTCTTTGCAGTACTCCTCAAACTTATCTGAGTGGTGGCTCTCATGACCATCAAGGACTAACAAGCGATAACCACCAACACTCCGGGGCTTTGTGTGCTTCTCAAAATGCTGAATCCAATCCATACCTCTCTCGTTTGTAGTCCAGCCATTTGCAGTAACAGCGATTACCCAATCTGCTGGAAATCCGCTATTCTCATACCAAGATGCAAGGTGGTTTTTACCTGCCACAATGACAAATGGCGGCACTGCCCAACCTTGAGAACTAACGCCTTGGATTACTGTAACCCATTCCCGATTGCCAGGCTGCACCTTTTTTGCCTTTGCCCGCCCATCTGAGCTCGTTACTACCGTTGCTTGAGATGACGCCCATCATAAACCCAGTCTCATCAAAGTTGTAGATATCTGCATTGTTGATGCCATACTTTAGAATTGTGTTCCATACAAGCTCAAACCAGCCACGAATGACTTCTGGATCTTCGCACTTAGCCCTCTGGTAGTCGTATTTTCGCTGGAAGTGTGTCCGGAGCTCTACATGGCGCTTAACAAAGCTTGAAGCCCAACGTGACCCGACGCGTGGCGCGTCGCGTGTTGCAAGTAGTCGATTTGCCATATCTTCAACAATAGACAACTGAGGAGGGAACCCTTTAGCAGCTAAGTCAAGTATATACTGAACAAGAACTGATTCCTCTAGGTTACTTAATTTCCGTAAGTTGGCTTGGATATCGCGTCGTGAAGGTACGCCTTGTAAACGGTGACATAGCTTGCGGTGGTCTACGGAATAGATCCTAGCTGCAACTCGAAGGCGCAAATTTGGGTCGCTTTGCATAGCTTGGATAGCTAGCACTAATTTGCCTTCATCATTTTTATGGCGCATGTTTTGTTGTGGAGGAATTTAACATTTAGTTGGGGGGGTTGGTCACCGCATGATTTTGGCACTTTCGCTTGTTTGGCACTTTCGTTATACATGCACGTTACTCGAGTACCAAAATCAAACCAGCTCCAAGGCCAAGGGGTATCTGCCTCACCATTCCAAGCACCTCCACGTCACCAAACCCCCACAAACAAGCAAAACTCCCATTCCACCGCTCCCACACCTCCTCTACTCCATCGTCCTCCCTACTCAAACACCTGAACCCTAATCCCATGACTCCCCTTCCTCACCAACGGCAAAAAGCTATCCCCATCCAACACCACATCCCCCATCCCCGTATCATACAACCCCAAACACCCCTCATCCCCCTCCGCCCTCACCCCCTCATACAGCACCCCCTCCTCCGTCTCCCCCTCCACAGTTCCAAACCTCATCCACAACGAGCTAATAACAAGATACAACTCCGACCATCCTAAATTGATGCCTAAGCACTGGCGACTCCCCCGCGTAAAACTAAGGAGGTACTTATCCAACCCCGAACTCAGCTCGCCATTCGCATCGAGCCAGCGCTCCGGGATCCATTTATGGGAATCGGGAAAGACAGACTCGTCGTGGTGCAGTTGCGCGACAGACATACCCACGGGCGTTCCCCTGGGAATAACCCACTCCCTCCCCGTCCTGCGATCTGTGAAAAAAAGCGGCTCCTCCGCTATCCTCGCCAACCTCCCCGCCACCCCATAAGTAAGACGCAGCGACTCCTTAATCACAGCATTCAGATACGGGAGCTGTTCCAGTGTCACCAGCGGGGTGGGTTTGTTACGGTCCGGGATCGCTGCGCGGAGTTCGGCTTTGAGTTTGCGTAAGGCGGAGGAAGTGCGGAGGAGGTAGAAGGTGCTTAGATCCAGAGTCCATGCTGTGGTGAGGGTTCCAGCGAGAACGAGGACTTCGGCTTCATCTGAGAGGCGGCGGACAGTTTTCTCTGCTTCGGGCAGTTTGGAGTCGAGGATCTCATGGAAGATTGTGGCGTGGGAGAGGTGCTGGTTGGATGTGTTGGCGCCGGTTTTGATGTCGGTGATTTGTTTGAGGATGTGCTGGGGGTGGTGTTAGCGGATAGGTGAGCTGGAGGGGAGAGGGGGGTGTTACGCGTCTCTGTGCTAGGAAGGCGGCGAGGAGGGGGTGGGCGAGGCGGGTTAGTTGGTCGGGGAGGGATTGGAAAATGGTGTTGAGCCAGGGGGCGTGCTTCATGAAGTTTGCGGCCGTTGAACCAAAGAAGCAGCCATCGCGGTTGGCGCGGTCAAAGTCTGGCCGTTCTATTGATTTGATTAGAAATGGTAAATATGAGTGACAGGTTGACGCTTCATACCGAGTCGATTATCAGATCTGGCAAAGGCGTATTGCATGACAACATCTGTACTTGTTAGAATAGCGGTGACTGAGATGGGTTTCAAGCTTACCACTCGTAAACGCTGCATTGAGCCAGCTAACATTGAGTACTTCTTCGCTTTCCTTGAAATCCCTAATCCTCTCCAGCATGGTTGAAACGCGCTCTTGGATAACTGGCTGAAGCTTTCTCACATTCTGCTGTGAAAAGAATGGATTGAGGGCAGCCCGCCTGTATTTGTGCAAGTCGTGGTCTATAGTTGCGAACATGGAGTAGTCCATGCCAAAGGATTCATAAAACAGAGGGTATTTGTTCCGCTTTCTGTTGCTGGCGCTGCTGGCATACACCTCGTCGTAGAACTCAGGATCTGAGATGTGCAGCTCGAATGGGGTAATGCGAATGATAGGCCCGTATTGTTTATGGAGCTCAATGAGCTTAAAAGTATACTTGCCACCGAGGATAAGGTCGTAGTAGAGTTCATACCTAGCAACGATTATTAGAATATATGTCAAGGCGCAGGTATTAAAAGGTCTCACCAAGATGTCAACGCGGCAATTTTTGGGCCTGGGAATTTGCTCAACGGACTGAGGAATGAACGATAAATTGCTCCATAGATAGTATATAGGGTCACAAAAATGATGACCAGAGTAATAACGACATGGTTTTCCCAGTCGAATAGCTCCATAGGTACAGATTAGGCGACGCTGTAGTGGTCTGGGAAGAGTCTCAACGTGATAAAGTCACAGTACTAACAACGACGATACTCGAGAATAGTACAGCAAAACAACAAAGAGATAATGGGCGGACATTTATTACGGAAATATATGGCCATATGAGGGGCACAAGCAATATAGACAAAGAAAAGGAAGGGGGGTGATAAGTGACACATAATCCACCTACACAAGGGTTGGTTGAATCCCTGCGCCAAAATTCCAGGAGACTGGTTCGGGGTTCAGGCATTCCCCATGAGGTAGCCCGACCGGTCGGGCGCTGTTTGGAGACGGAGTAGCCAGAGTTGACAATAGAAGCGGCAAAGCGTGTGTGCCACAAAGCCAATAAGGTGCTCCGGGTGCTGTTAGAGGGATTTCCAGAAAGCTAGAAGGAGGGATCCGGGGTATACGAAGTGGGCGAAGTGGCTCGCACGGCCTCAATGGGAGGAATGCTGTTTGTTGGATCCCAGCCCTGCGGTTGTTGCTTTTAGCCAGCCAGTAACCAACAAACAGGAGGTTGGTCGGCTGAAGATTCATTTTCTTGGATGCCATCCACACCGATTCTCTCATACAGCCGGCTCAGCTCAGCTCGGCTCGGTCAGCTTAGATCATCTCGGTCGGCTCATGTCGGCGTCGATATATAAGTCCAGACACGGCATCCTGACCAACTCATGGGCATAGCATTATCTCGTTCGTATACTGAGTAGGGCCAAGCCTCTTTGACAGAAATATAAATGCGGGGCGTTTGTTCTTTGTGACTTATTGTCAGGCTTCCCGTAGGTGATTGAAGTGATCTCGAAGGTGACGGTAAAATCGGGATGCAGTAGCAGATGCCGCCAGGACCTTTCCGACACGGGTGACGCCACTGTCTCACTGCTTCGGGTGTGATTGTATCGCTGAGACAGGACGAGACTGGATGAGACTGTTGATGTGCATTACTGTACTGTTAGTCTGCTGTAGTTGGAAATCCGAGTGTTGTCTAGGAGTTAGCCACAAGAGCCACAATATGAGGCTAGCCAAACAGAAGCGTACAGCTGGAAATCTAAAAGAAATGATGTGCGACCGGGATTTATAAGGTGGACACGCGCTACTGTGGTACTCGTACAGCACTAGAAGAGCACTGATGCTATAGTGGCACCTATATAGATAGTACCACTATTAGCACTGACACCAATAGTTCCATATTGTGAGTACAGTAAGATAGTAAGACGGCGGTAAGATGGTAAGCTATCTCGCAGGGTTGTCACCACTTCCTTTCTCCGCATTCCAGTTTATGATATTTAAGGTCGTACTTGTGGTTCTTAAGTGCTTACGTCGACCCATATTTATCTATTCTATAGACAACAACCTAAGTAAGCTTCTATAAAGGTAAAATCTCATAGTATAAAAAAGCTAGGGACGCTATGTGATTTAATTATTAACTCACCCTAAGACAAGACTTAGATTCTCAACTAAAGAGACAGCCTCGGCCCGTACGAATGAACCGCGTATCCTCGCAATACCCACCTCTGGGGTATAGATCATGGGGCATTTAGAACCCTGCTACAGTAGCTCGGTGCGGGGAATGCTATGAGAATCGAGATGTCGAAAGTAGCTTCAGCAGTGTGGAAACTGGGGAATGGGTTTATGGCAGTCTGGCATGGAATATATTGAAGTAGATCTTATCAATAGCAACATAATGCATCGATCTCAGACATCAATTGTTATGTAAGCATGAAGTTTCTCTCAATGGAACCTCGAACCTCCTAAGCTCCTGGCTGAGAGATTCACGGTCTGTGGGATAATTATTGGTGACGCCCTACTACCGCGCTGGGTCGCGCTGAAACTAGTCCGATGGACATGAATCATCCTCATCTTCTTCCGCTTCTGCAAAGCCTGTCCCGCTGCGTCAAAGTCGCTGATGCTCGCACTGACCAAGATGCATTTGCCCAAGGGCACGATGATGGAGCCGGACTGGGTGCCATCTTATAACCCATGGGAGCAACGCCTCTGCACCAGCCCTGATGCGGATTTCTTCCTAGGCTTGAAGACGGGGAAGTCGGATGTGGTGCTAATGCCATCACCCTCGAGAACGGGAGGACCTTGCACCCCGATATCATCGTCACAGCCACCGGTCTCCGCCTCTGCTTCGCCGGAGCGGTCGCCATGTCCGTCGATGTGAAAGTCGATTCCTCCAGTAAATACATCTGGAAAGGGATGATGGTCCAAGACCTCCCCAACATGGCCTTCCCGTCCGGGTACCTGCACTCGTCCTGGACCCTCGGCACAGACGCCACAGCCGTCATGGCGTGTCGTCTCATCAAGCATATGCAGGCCCAGAATATCAGCGCGCCGGTTCCGAGGCTGAGCCTTGGGGGGAAGGAGGACATGGAGGATAACTCGTGTCAGATGTCAAGTACGTATATGAGGCATGGGAAGAGCGCGGTGCCGGAAGGGGGGGGGGTGGTAGGGGGGCGTGGTGGTCGAGGAATAATTTGTGGCAGGAGGTTATTGCGGCGAGGTGGGGGAATTTGACGGATGAACCCATCCGTGGGGGGTTCGAGATGGGGCGTAGGGGTGAACTGAGTGGGAGTGGGAAAGAGGGTTATATGGGCCGTTCATGGGATATTGGGGTTGGGGAAGGGGCCTGGCTGGTGTTGATACCCATCTATAATATAATCGGCTCTGTGGGGGAATGTAATACACGTATTTATCGTCTCAATAATTGCCATGTCAGAGAGCCCAGAAATATACTGGCACATCACCGATCGCGGTCTGGAGTCTTTGGAGTTGGACTTCTCTTGGTACAGATGGGACTTTAAAATGGCAAAAAGGGAAGGTATTTGTGGGAAAGGAGGCTGATACGGATACATTCATCTAACGTGTCTCTGTCCTGTATCGACATCTCGAACACTGGAGTCGTACAAAAGCGGCTGAACTTACCATGCCCCTTCGGCAATTTTCAGACGTTTATTCCGAACGGGCCACAAACATCCCCCTTACATTATATAGCTCCCGCTTGAAGCAAGGGCCCGATCGATCGAAGGGCGGCTCATGAACAGAATCACAAAGTACACACTGCAGTCACACCTGCACTGCAAACGACAAGCTATAGCAAATGTATGTCAGCCCAGTTGAGCTACACCAGTACCATTTCTCTGGTATATACGCCTCATTATGCTCAGGGTATTCCATTCGCCCCGCTCCCGCCCTGAAATCATCGAAGTCCACTAAATGCTAATGTACAGTGTATGCGTGCCTGATAAAACTCCATCATCCCAATCACTCCGTCTCCGTTGCCGCATCCCCCTCCGCCATAGTGGTATCATCACCCTCCGCCACGGCGCTCACAGCCTCGACTGCACTCTCACCCGCTTCAGCGGCAGGGGTCTCCTCGGTGGCAGCAGCGTCAGCTTGGAAAATGTACTTCTCCAGCTCGTCAAACGTGTCGGTCAAGTTGTCGTTAATGAGGATTTTGTCGTGGAAGCCTTCGATCTCAGCGTGTTTGATCTCCTCGGCCGCAGTCTCAAGCCTCTGCTTAACCTTCTCCTCGTCGTCTGTGCCACGCGCGCGCAGGCGCTTCTCCAGTTCCTCCAAGCTTGGCGCGTTGAGGAAGATGAATCGGGCGGGGTAGGATTGGTCTTTGAGCTGTTGGATGCCCTTTGTCCTGTCAGTAGCTGTTTATGCACGCGTTAATTAGGGGAAGAAAGGTACATACATGAAAGTCCATCTCCATAACCGGGACTTTGCCCGACGCAACGATCCCCTCGACGATCTTCTTGCTAGTACCGTAGTCGTTGCCGTTGAAGTTGTTAAACTCGAGGAACTGGTCGCCATCGCGCATCATGGCGTAGGTCTCAGGGGTGATAAAATTATAGTGCGTCCCATCGACTTCGCCTACGCGTGGCGCGCGAGTGGTGTGAGAGGCCTTGCGACCGAAGAGTTTGGGGTGTTTGTCGATGAGCATCGAGATGAGGGTTCCCTTTCCGACGCCGCCGGGGCCAGAAATGACTACTGGGCGTCGGTCGACGGGGGATATTTCACTCGTCCCGTTCATGTTGTCGATCGGGCTACTTGTGTCTTTTTCGACCTCTATGTCAGCTACAGGTGGCTTGTCCTCGAATATATAATCGATCTTCTCTGCGTCGTCGATCTTATCAAAGGCTGCTAGCTTTGTTTTGCTCGCTACCCTCAAAGCTCGCCAGGTTTTGCTTGCTTTTCCGTAGATGGCTGCTTCTTTTGTGTCGTCGTTGGTTGGCATGTCAATTTCCATGTCGTCAAGCGCGATTTTATCTTTGAAGCTCGCTAAAGGAGGTAATGAATAACGCGACGGATTCTTCAATCGCTCCATACCTATGATTCCGTCTGCCTCACTCAGAAATCCAAGTTCGAGCGAGCCCATCGGTTTCGGCCTTAGCCGTTTATTTGTAGTAATCTTTTTTGCTGTAGCTTTTGCGGCGAGGTACTCTTCTGGCGTTACGGCTGGCCGTTCTATAGATGGACAGCTTTCAATCTTCCAGCGCACCCAGTGCTTATCTCGTGATAACACTGTCTCAACCATTCGGTAGAAAAATGGCCCGTCGTGGCCCTGCTTTAAATAGTCGGCTATAGATTTCTTTGTATCCACTGCCCATTTTACATCTTCGTCGCTGAGGATCTGATCTTGGTACATTACTGAGAGGTTTTGTTTGGTGGTGGTTGCTTGATTCTCCTTCGCCTTGCTCCCGAGCGATATCAGGAAATCCATTATAATAAGTGCCTGAACCAAAATATGACGACGGAATAAAAGATCCTTGATCTCAAGTTCGAACAAGTCTCTGCTGGTGAGGTATTTGGGGTTGAAGATGTGGGCCAAGTCATCATCATCCTGTCGTCGCTTTCGCTTGGTGCCCCTATTTTCATCGTCGACAGGTTTGGAAGAACCGCGATAGTTTGATTCGTTCTGCACCGATCGAAACGCCGTAATCGTCAAATTTAGCCCTTCTTTGAACTCTTTAAAACGCTGTGTGTCGAACAGTCCTTTTGGTTGACTGAAGCTCTGCTGCAAAGACCAGAAAATGGGGTATAGGTCGTCAGAACTCAACGGCTGCTCTGATTGAGCAGTTGAAGCAGCATTAAAGGTCACCTTCTTAGCTTCTTCACTCGTAGGTATGTCTGCAGCGGGTCCTGTAGGCGTAGGTTCAACACCCGCATCAACTTCCATCTGGTCCCCCTGAGTTTCCCCCTTCGCAGGTATTTGGTCGAACGTTGTCACATTCTCCACATGGTATTCGCCCCTCAGATTCACAGAACTCTTGTCGCCTAGAGGGAAACTCTGGAACATGAAAATAAAAACCCGTCCACAGAATGCCGTGTCCTCCGCCCGTGAGAGTCGTCGTAGGAGCTCATTGCAACTTCTCAGTATCGCCAATTTCTTTCCTGCAAAGTCCTTTGCAATTATGCGCTCCCGTCTTGACTCCAGGTAATCCAAAATCTTCCGGCACCCGGCGATAGTCTGGCTGTCGAGGAGTTCTTCGATGAGCCAGAAGAGCAGGGCTGGGTCGCATTGTCCGTCATCGGAGAGAGTCGATACGATATCCAGCAGATTCCACACTTGGACAAATTGAGGTTGTTCTATTGAATAAGTAGCCTAGTCCTGGTTAGAATTGGTCGACGACGCTCGCAAGTTGTAGGGATCCTCACCAGGAGATCGATAAAGGCGTCTCGGACAGCTATTTCGACGACCGCATATATAGTTGATTTCTTCGCATCGCGTCTCTTCGCAAATTCCGGTAGCTCTTGAAGTCGCCGAAACCCTTCTTCAATATCCGCTTTCAATATGGGCGGCTCGATTCCGTTTGTTCGTTTGACTTCACTGGCTTGCGCCAACATAACCCCAAGGAGCCCCTTGCACTGATTGACCGCCTCCACTTCGAGAGCCGCCATAATGATTCATATGCGGCGCAATGCCAATCCCAAGTACTTGAGTTTGGATTACGTCTGTTGTTATTGAGTGAGGCGCAACCTGCTCAACGAATGCCCGATCCAGCATTCTTGAGGCTCTAGAATTACCTACTATATGCGGGCGGCACTAGTCCAAAACCTTAATTCACCAAGTCACATGACGTAGGTTTTGGTGCTTGACCATCATAACGCGCTTCAACTTCAGATTATGAAGATAAGCGTGTTGCGCAAACATCAATCGCCAACCGCAATTCCTCTACGACAATGGCGCCGAGGACAAGGGGCCCCGTGGAGCCTCGCAAGGAGGTGGATGCCGGCCGGCCTACTGTCGCGGATCTCCAAGGCGAGAGTCCATTCGCCCAACTCGCAAAGAAACACTGGCTCAATGCAGGCAAGAAAGCTGCGAAGGTCAAAATAAAGCCACAGGTATTGAAGAAGGAAATTTGGGATGTTCTTGAGCAGGAGGGTTTTTCGTATAAAACGCTCCTGATACTTGAGAATCTGCAAATCCTTGAGAGGTATGCGCATCAACGAGCCTTGTGTTTCGCCCATACTAATTATACTGCAGCTACCTATGGCCTGGGTTTTCGGATGATGCATCTAATCACCATGTTCTCTTAATCGTTTTGATTTCGAACGTTCGCAGTCGGGAGCATTTACCTGTATGGAGTGAGTGAAGACCTCTGTCCCGCTGGTGCTTGGGTAGAAACTGACAACCACAGATATATACTCTGATAATCCTGCCGATTTTTCATTACTATTTCGACGCATACTCTCAATGACTCTGGATAATACCCTTTCGCCAAATATACGAACACACCTTCTCTCTTTTATAATAAGCGCCTTCCAATCCCTCGACAGTGGCATTGTCAGGAAAGAATGCGCTCCTCTGGTGTCGATAGCCGTCTGGCATAACCTTTCAAGCGAGAAGAAACGAAACAATAAACTCGATGAAAGCGTTCAGTTGAGAAAGGTCTGGAGGGCGTCAGGCAAGCGGTACGAGGCTGCAGATGATACAACGAAGGCAAGGCTCCGTTTTGAGCGGTCATGGCTGTACGCCATGCTGCTCGATTTCTTCAGCCAATTGCATGACACGAAGAACAAATCAGACAATCTCCTGTATTGCGAACGTTTCCTCGAGCTGCTGTCCGACTTTCAAAGTCAGTTGCCGACCCGGAGATTTGTTAATACGCTGCTGCAAGATTTGAACACACTGCCCCTTATCAGGCTATCGCCATTGTTCAACGACGAAGGCAGTGGGCTGTTGCGAGACCTCTATGGCTTATTAAAGCACTACACGTACTTCTCCCTTGACGACCACACTGGGATTCAGTATACCGGAGAGGAGACATACGAGCGTCATTGCACGCGACTTGGTCGTTTACAGCGCACTGCCCTTAAACACTACAAAGATAAGCTCACAATTCTTGCCTTATCAAACTATGGCTCTATCGAAAAGCGAGAGGACCTCGAGGGTCACCTAGAAACGTTATCAGACGATGAGCTAAGAGCTTATTGCGAGCTTCTTGATCTTCGTGTATCGTATCCAGACTCAGCCAATGTTGCGGGTGGTCGCTCGTTTTTAATGGAGGTTCTCGTGTCTACGTTTGAGAGACGGAAGACATTCCAGGACACAGCCTGCGATCTAAGTATTCTACCGACAGAAGAGACTTTGTTCGAGCCAACATTATTACGGAATGAGAGCTACAATGGATCTCAGCCGCTAGCTCTGCCGAAGCTCAACTTACAATACTTGACGGTTGGCGACTTTTTATGGCGCTCATTTATCTTGCACCGCTGCGAGTCCTTTTTCGAAATCCGCAAAGATATCGAAGATACCCTTAAACGACTGCGGCCACAAACTAGCAGAACAGGAGAAACGAAGTTCGACGGGTTCTCAAAAATGGCTCTGCCAATTTCGAAACCGGCTATTCTCGAGGTCGTCCCCCCACTTGTCGGCGAGACGAAGCCTGCTGCCGTGAAGGCAGAGATTGCTCTGGATGTGAGTCGTCTTGCGGAGAATATACGTCGAGAATGGGAGTTGTTGCGGCCAGATGATGTAGTTTTTCTTCTGGCTATAAACCTTTCTGACCGTAGTAATATGATCTCAAACGGCGAATCAAAAATTAGGGATCTGCAAATACTAGGCATAAGGCATATTCGAGCAGCTGAGGTTACTCAGGTACTGGATGACAATGGGCGTCCTATGAGAGACTTTAGCGGGCAGACTAATGGCCGTGGGCAAGCGCGGCTCCGTCGACTGCACATCAAACTTGATGCTGCTATGTACAAGCAGGACTTGGATAGCGCTGGAGCGAGCAAGCCTGACGTCTACGAGTCAATCAATGTTATTGTGCGGAGGAGAGGTCGGGAGAACAACTTCAAGTCGGTGTTAGAGTCTATTCAGAGCCTGACATTGTCGGACGTTCCACTTGCCCCGTGGCTTCACGAGGTCTTCCTTGGCTACGGCGATCCAGCAGGAGCATCATACCCGCAGTTAGCCAACAAGATCAAAAAGGTGGACTATCGCGATACGTTCCTCAATTGGCATCACCTGATTGAGAGCTTGCCTGGCAAGACGGTTGAGCCCAGCGAAGAGGCAAGCGGTAGCTTCGGTCCACCTTACGTCCTTAAGACTACCGAGAGCGTATCCGCACCAACCCCTACCAAGCCTTCAAAGAAGAGACGTCGTGGTCAGGAAGATATTCCAGCGAATGTTGCCCCTCCAGTTGTCGAAGTCTCTACTTACAAGCCGCCAAACACTGGGCCATACCCCATAGACGAAGTGAAACTTAATCACGTTCGCTTCACACCAGCCCAAGTTGATGCCATCCTCTCTGGAACGCAGCCAGGCCTGACCGTCATCATTGGCCCTCCGGGAACCGGCAAAACCGACGTGGCAACTCAAATCATCAATAATATATACCACAACTTCCCCAAGCAGAGGACTTTGCTTATTGCACACAGCAACCAAGCTCTTAACCAGCTGTTCCAGAAGATTGTTGCTCTAGATATTGATGAGAGACATCTTCTTCGCCTCGGACATGGTGAGGAAGAGCTCGACACTGAGAGCAACTTCAGCAAGCATGGCCGCGTCGAGTCTTTCTTGGAGAATAGAGACAGGTATTTACTTGAAGTGGATCGCCTGGCTGCAAATTTCGCTGCTCCTGGAGCGCATGGTAGCTCCGCCGAAACTGCAGGCTACTTCAACTCCGTTTATGTCGAACCTGCCTGGGCGAGATTCCAGGAGGCACTCAAAGATCCAGAGGTAACCAAAGAAACTGTGGTTGAGCTGTTCCCGTACCACTACTACTTCTCTAATGCCCCGCAACCGCTTTTCCCTGCTGATGCGGATAAAGCCAGCGTCATTGAGATTGCTAGTGGTTGCAATTATCACGTCACGAAGATTTTCACCGAACTTGCCGATGTGAGGCCTTTCGAAATTCTCCGCCGAGATCGCGATAAGGCAAACTACCTTCTTACAAATGAGGCACGCATTATCGCCATGACATCGACGCATGCGGCAATGCGGCGACGAGAAATTGCTGATCTCGGGTTTCACTACGACAATGTAATCGTCGAAGAGGCAGCCCAGATCACAGAAATCGAAAACTTCATCCCCCTTGCGCTTCAGACACCAAAGAATGGGATGATGCCCCTCCAGCGCGTTGTCCTTTGTGGTGACCACTTCCAAAACTCCCCAATCGTGCAAAATCTCGCCTTCCGCCAGTACGCGAACCTCGAACAGTCGCTTTTCTCTCGTCTTGTGCGTCTCGGCGTCCCTACTGTCATTCTTGACAAGCAAGGTCGTGCTCGCCCATCCATCGCCGAACTTTACCAATGGCGTTACCCGCACCTGGGCAACCTTCCTCTTGTAGAGACTGGCCCAGAGTTTCAGAAGTCGAACGCTGGATTCAGATACGACTACCAGTTCATCAACGTCCCAGATTACAAAGGCAACGGCGAGTCGGAGCCGACTCCTCACTTCGTCCAAAACCTGGGTGAAGCCGAATACGCCGTAGCAATCTTCCAGTACATGCGACTGCTCGGATATCCCGCCTCCAATATCAGCATTCTGACCACCTACGCTGGCCAGCGCGCCCTGATCAAGGACGTGCTCACCCACCGCTGCGCGAAGAACCCCATTTTTGGCCTCCCCAAGATTGTCACTACAGTCGACAAGTACCAGGGCGAGCAGAATGACCGTGAGTTATCCTAACCCCCGCATAAATGCGTACCTCCACTAACTTCTTCCTAGACGTCATTCTCTCTCTCACCCGCACTTCCCGCGTCGGCTACCTCCGCGACGTAAGAAGGTTGACTGTAGCTCTCTCCCGCGCCCGTCTCGGTCTATACATCCTCGGCCGCCGCGAAGTATTCGAGTCCTGCTTCGAGCTTCAACAGGCATTTAAGATTCTCTTCCGTCGCCCGGACAAGCTCATGCTCGTCACCGGCGAGCTGTGGCCCTCGCAGCGAACCATCGCGGACGAGGCAGACGATGTGGAGGTTCCGGGCGTGACGCCGATGGAGGGTGTCGAACATCTGGGTCAGTACGTGTTCGAGATGACGAATGCGAAGGTGCAACAGCTGCGTGCTGAGAGGGGTCTGGGAGAGGATGTCGATGTCCTAGCGGCTGTTCAGGAGATGGATGAGGAAGAGGTTGCCGTCGATGGCGAGGTGGAGGAAACTCCCGTAGATAGCTTTGAGGCGGAGGAGGAGTAAGGCGTTAAACGGGAGAGGAGAGAAGTAAGTGTATAGTGAGTGAAGTGGACACGCTGGGTTGCATCATGGGATGGCGCAAATTTTTATTTTCCTGGATACGGGGTGGTGGGTTTCATGATCTTTTGCGGTTTCCAGGGCTGTGAAAAAGTAGTGTTGGGATATTAGCGGTGGCCTGCTTGCAGTTAAGCCTTTGTAATCTGTATGCATATATATTTTGCCTGATCTGAACTTTCCCGTGTGCATTTCTACGTGCTTGTTTCATGTAGCGTTCGTCACTAGAAGGTCGTCCCTTGAGGATTTCACTCTTGAGGATTTCACTTTTAGGATTTCACCTTCAGGATTTCACTGGAGGTCATGGCGGAGAACTGCAGGC